GGATGGATTGGCTTTGGTTTCTCAACGGCAATGCCACCAACCACGCCAAGAATGATGGGATACGATGTAGCTGTTGCAATGGTCAATGCAGCCGGAGTAGGGACTATATCGGTAAAATATTAAACTGTTCTACATGGGAAGGTACAGTGGCCCATGGGTAATGCACTGTACTCTGGATCGAGTGGTCCGGGTTCAAGCTCTGGCCGGGCTCAATGTGTTTTTTTCTTGGGCGAGACACTTAACTAACACTCACAGTGCTTCTCTCCACCCAGGCGTATATATATGTGTATGCTCTACCTCTATGAGGTAGCTCTGCAGGGGATTAGCATGCCTTGGAAGGGGAGAAAAATCACTCCTACATATTCGTTTCATATGGTACGGAGACCAGTCTCATTGCCCACCTACATGTAAGGCTAGAAACTAGACCTTACCGACCTTACATTCACACTCTTCATCAACCGGCGGCCTTTTTGTAAGGTCTACAGTTGTTACAGCTTGTAACTAACACTTTATACTATTCTATTTAGTTTTTCTGCATTTCATTTGCTAGAGGTTATCATTAAGTGTAAAGTGAAAGTTTTTTGGTATAGAGTAAAAATAGCGGAGTATTACGGCATAAATGTGCTTTTCATATTGACCCAGATCTACCAAGTGACGCTTCACTTTGTCTCATTCTCCAGGACCATCTAACCGATGGCACGCGGGCCCCACCGCCGGATGCTAGCCAAGACTGGACGTTAACTTATTCCAGTGAATACAACGGTGTAACAACGTTGAGGTTTTATCGCAAGCTCAATACCGCCGACGAACAAGGAGATGTTGTTATTGAGGTAACAAACAATACTCAGGAAAAACATATACAAATGTTATGCGTGCCTTTACAGAAAGATAAGTTCGTTACATTCCAGGTAAAATGTAGAGGCTTGATTTATCAGAAGATAATCAACAGAATGATCTGGATTGAAGCTACGTGTCGATTCCTTTGTCAATTCATCGTTTTTTTTTTCCATCTTGCCGGTTAACCTTCCCCTTACTTACTTCAGATACTTTACGCCTTGCCTCAACGTTTAGGACTTTGAAAGTATTTCGTGATAGTGAGATGCAAACTACAGAAAAGTCAAGAGCTTACGTTTTTTTTGTTCTTAACTTAACCTAATCAGATTAGTTTCTTTTATTGTGGGAGTTAGGGAAAGAAGATTTTTAAATCAACTAGTCGGCAATTGTTTAGACTGCTGAACTAACATACGTTTGTCACAAGAATTAGGATATATTCCGTTGAAAAAATAGAGAACGTATTTATTAGAAAATAATGGACAGCATGAAGATGATTGAAGGTTCGTGACTAATTTGTTTATTGTTCTTTTCACCTTTTTTAAGCTGGGAGTGCCAGTTTACCTTATATGGGCTTTTCATCCTACAAGTGACAGCATTCGAAACCATTTGCCACCGAATAGAGGCTTCCAAGAAGTAACGTTTGTAGCTGGCCCAACAACAGGTCAGTTGCTTTAAAAAAACCTTTACCGAGGCAACGTACAGTCCAAAGTTGGAAAAGTGGGGTTGTAATGAAACAAAACAACAAAGAACTGCATTTG